TTATCTTCTCGCGTGTGAGGCGCTCAGAGGCCGTGGAGATAAGAGTCTATCAGGAGGAGGATTGATTTTCATTAACAGATTGTAATAAAGATGAACTGCTCGGCCCGCACGCTGACCAAGAGCCACACTTTATTGTAATTGGGCCAATTTATTTCATGAGCCACTGCCTCCACTTTTTTAGTCTCTCCCCTTTCTTTTCTTTTCTCTCTCTCAGTTCATTACTGTAATGTTTCAACCACATCATTTATTCTCTTCCCATATTTCAGCTGCCAGACAAATTGTATATTCACTATTTCATATATCTGTCTACACAGTATGGACTATTTACTTCTATAGACCTACATTATATTACAATTTGTGAAGTGCAAACTGTAACCATTTAAGCAATTAGCTAAATATTCTGCTATAAAAGCCCTAAATTACACGGAAGGACTCGAATTGGTGAATCTTTTCATTCTTTTATTTACAGAAAACATCTGATTGAACCAATTCACTAGAGGGAATCAGGCTTTCCAACACTACATTTGGAAAACAGAACCATTCGGGATGAACTAATTCACTAAAATGAATTGTTGGACCAAAGCTACATATAAATAAGAGAGATTCATAGTGTGAACCGATTTACTATGAATCATACCGGCACTACATGAATGAACCGTTCAGGACTAACCAATTCACTAGGACGAATCAGACTTCACAAGTCTATGGGAAATAAGAGAGCTGTGTAGTTTATGATGAACCGATTCGCTAAAATGACTTTCAAATCTTAAGGGCCGTTCACACAGAACGCGTTTTTCCATTCTATTGAATGTAAATTCTATTCTATGTAAATACACGCATGACAGACATGTTTTACCTTTGCGTACCCAGATAGCACAAGTCTATTTGATGTGATGTTTACATCTGGAAGACGTATTTTTAAGAGTGTTTGGGCCAGTGTTTGGTGTTTGGGTCATCTGCAATACGTCTATAGGACGTTTCCTGTCAGATGTCAAATAGACGTTTAGAAGATGTCTTTAAGATGTAATGATTTAGAATGCATGTTAAACTGACATCTTCTAAACGTCTATTTGATATCGGACATGAAACGTCCTATAGACGTATTGCAGATGAGAAAACACTCTTAAAAATACGTCTTCGAGATGTAAACATCACATCAAATAGACTTGTGCTATCTGGGTACGGATTACATTCATACTATATAGAAAGAACTTTTTTAACGGTCGTGAATTAAGTTACGATTACATGGCGGTAACGCAGCATTGCATGCGAAGTACAATCATGTGACATTAACAACAATCAACACTGTACAAATAATGTTTCAGTATGGGGTTAAGAGGATTTTGTGCTTACCTTTTCACAACCCTGTATGTTATGCTCAATACAATGCGATACATATACTGTAAGAACCAAACACAAATAGACTTCATACTTAAATTTAAAATTTTATTGTAAAATTGAAAAAAAGAGAGAGAAAGAGAGAAGCCCATTAAGTGTTTCTTTTCAATGCATACATTTTCTAAACATAACCAATAAATAGGCGATTCATAAACAGATTGTTGTCAGGAATAAATAAATAAATAAATAAATAAACGCTCATAAATTAATTGGCAAATCATTCGATGAGTAGGCATAACAGTAAAACAATGTAAGCAGCAAGTATTTGAGAAATGTCAACGGGATGTTTGGTTTCTCAGGCATTTGTCTTGGACATATCTTCTCTGTCTCAATAAAAGAAAGAAACACTGTCCATTTCAGTTGTTCATGCTGCACCAATCACATCGCAGAGACAGATGGTGCACCTCTCGTTCTCTTTTCTTGGAAAATATCAAACAAACGTTAACAAGGAAAACGAAAAACAACTGTAAACAGCATTGTCTCATCCAGGCTTTAAGAACAGCGCAGGGAGTGCCTGGCTCTCCCACTGCACATTTCACACAGCAAAATCAATACTCTTGATATATATTTCCTTATGCTTTGTGCTGAGAAAACCAGAACTTTAACATGATCTTTATAAAGCAAAAAAAAAAAAAAAAAAAACCGCCCCACCCCGAAAGCCACCCGCCCACCGACTACTCCCCCATAGAATCTGAGAAATGTGCTGCTGTTCCCTAATATACAGATTTCATATCTATAATAAGCTACTTTCCTTAGCATACAAACCATAGTTAAAGAATCATATCGTTAATATGAGTAGTACCTTTATAACACTTGAACCCCCCGAAGCTTTCCCACCCGTTCCCCCCTTGAGCATGCTCACAGATCAAAGTTCGGCATGACGATCTGAGCAACGAAACGTGAACGTGGTTTGAATGAGAAAAACGCAAGTATGAAATGCTGGTGGTCTGGTTTCTCCAAATACCTGTAGTGCATAACGCCCCCCCCCCTCCCCCTCTTGTTTCTTGCAAAACGCAATTTGTATTAACGCCGTCGGTTCACCTTTCAACACATCAAGTTTCATTTTATATGCCTTTCCAATCTCATTTTTTTTTCTTTCAAGCTGTAATGATATCATCCTTCAAACTTATTAAACTTCAGGCACTAGTTGCCATTTTTAATTTGTATTACACTTGCTTTTACATGCAGGCCAAATTTAATTTGATTTTAATAATTCACATCTGGCATGGAGAGATTCTGCGAGGAAGGCCCTTGCAACTTGAGGTTATTAGACCGCCGATGCCCGAGGGCTGCGTGTCTGTATATCACCACGTTCTGATATGCCACCACAGGACAGGAGAGGGGAGATGAAATGAGAGAGAGTTCAGCAGAAAAAGGCCATTATAACCTGTGAATCGAATGCGATCCATTTCGGCGCGACCTGAGGCTAAAAAACGGCTGTGATATACAGGCGACGTTAATGTTTTCTGACGTCCGGGAGATTAAACATTTAACATACAGATATATTTTTAGGCAAGACAAACAGGGTCAAATATCCACAGTGGAAATCAAATGAGGTCAAAACATGTGCTTTTCTGTCCTACCTAAATTCTAGAGCTCTGTTTTTGCATCTCTTTCGGTGTTATTTGTGAATTCCGTGAGGACCTGAACTTCTGTCAATATATTATCTTTCGTTTTGGCATTTCTATGAAGGCAGTGCGGAATTGACGAGTTGGCAAACGGCGGCGTAGCGTAACGGCGGCGTGTGGATAAAACTGGAAAAAAAAAAACTTTAGATGCATAGGAAAACAGGAACAGGGAAATAGTTAAAGACCCCATGAAATTGTTTGGCGAGTTGATGCATTTCCTTTTGAAGCAGGAAGTTGGGCCATGACAACTTGTTTTTAATAGCCGACCGATAGTTTACATCACAGCCACAATTCGCCTTTGGCTAAGCCACACCCTAGAATGTAGATTGACCAATCACAGCGCAGCCAAGAACGAGCTTCCACAGTGGTCCGACACTTTTTCACAGCGCTCCATTGACTTTAACACAGGCGTCTCATATTTTTGGTCTCGGCAGGCTATTACCGTCGTAGTTTTATCAAAAATATGGTTAAACGTTGTGCCTGGGGCATTTGTAACACAGATACGCGTTTCCCAGAGAGGTTGGAGGGGGGTGTGCGTTTTTTTCCCTTCCCAAACCGAAGTCAAATCCTGACAAGTGTCGTCTAGCACACCCTGCTAATAAATACAACGTTATACTCGCGTAGTCCGTTTGCTTTGTAATAACGATTATAGAAGTGAATAGAGACCGACCCAGCTTTGCATGAACAGTGTTGCTCCTTGATATTGTTAGTCCCAGCCTCCGTCTCGATTCGTAGGATATGCGGTGGTTCATTTTTTGACTGTGACCGGTATGCTTTTACCTCTATTTGGATGCCTTGTTGTTCCTTGCGTTTCACCTGTATGTCCTGAATATAGCCTTCGAACGTATATTGCAGCCCCTTTTGCCTACTTCTATCGGACACTTTATTTGCTGCTTTATAAAAGTTTTATAAAACTTCAGCAGGAAGAGCTGTCACAGCATAAGCCATGTTGATACCAGAGCCCAGATGAAGTTTGTTTGTCGGACGTAGCAACAGTAACTAAGGGGGGCGGGGCTTAGCCAAAGGCGAATTTGCAACACTACAAAATCCTACACTTAAGTATTTTGTCTAATTTTACACTTAAAAATAAATCTATTAAGGAGAGAAAATAGACATATTCAAGATGCAATTCAGTCTTAACTTATATATATATATTTTTTTTAGATATTTATAATATATATTTGAGATAATTTTACTGGAAATCAATAAAAATAAAAATAAACTAATTAAAACATTTTTCTGTGTAGTAGTTAGTTGCAGCAGAATTAGTGGGAGGAGCATTCTGACTCAAGAGCATCTGATTGGACAAAAATCGATGAGTCATCAATATTTTTGGCCCATTTCCCAAGCTTACAAACAGCCACCAATTCTGACCAAATAATATTTTGGTCCGTTTTCCCAGAAGACTGTAAATGAGGTAACATTCGCCTTTAACATTAACACACAAACTAAGCATCGCTAAACTCCAATTTTGATTTCACAGGGTCTTTAAAATTCTTGACAAGTGCTTCAGAGTTGTGTATATTTGTGACTTGTCTGAGAGCAAAGCATCAGCTGCGGTTAAGTACACGATAATGTCAGACTCTGCGGCTTTTTTTATTGATGGATCAGTTTGCTCCGACTGTAACCCCCCATGGATGCTATTTGCAAGCTGTTGGTGAGCTCTTTACAGGCTGCTCATTAGACCTTTGCAGACAGTTAGTGTCAAGCTAATCCATACCAGTCTGAGAAGCATATTCTTAGAAATACGGGTTCAACTAGTTGTCCCGCGGCGTTTTCTATATCTTAAACTCGTTTATTAGTGAAATGAACTCTAAAAAAATCAATGCGGAATTGATTGTGCAGGTTTCCGAGGCGAAATTCGATTTTTATTTTGAAGATGGTCCCTGTAAAATTCTGATGTGCTTCAGAAATTGTAAGTTTGTCCCTTTTGTTGGTCTGTTACGAACCTCAACCAGGACATTGTGTGGGCTGTGTTAGGGTTTAAGGCTTGGTATCTATGTAACTGCTTGTTCACTTACCAGTGTGCTTTATCAAGTTGATATTCAGCATTTGGCACCAACCATTTGATGAGTTTGTTCTTGAAAGATGCACGAAAATGGACGATATGAAAGCTCTGCTGGTCCCTCGTAATGGTAAAGTTGGCCGATACTTTACGAAGCACGATCGTAAACCTGATGAAATCAAACTAGATCCCCTTTAGTAGAAAAAGCACTAAATCGGCGCACAAAAACGAAAATGAACATTTCCCGTCACTGTCAAGCGTTAACTGTATTTTTCAGTTATTATTTACCTGTGCAATGGTACAGCAGTTATATTGCGAATAGTTTGCGTTGAAGCCACAGGTACTTATTCTGCTCGATAAGTAAAGCTTTCATTGGATAAATATGTTAGTTTATGTGTACTGAATAACTACCCAAGGTTTCGCTAAACCAGCAACACTTCGCACATGCATATATAGTTATACTCAGCATTTGCTCTCTGGAATGTGGCCTATTTCTGACATCGGAGTAAAGAAAAAGATGATGGATGATGGACCCTTCCCTCCCTCTTTTTTTCATCATGAATGAAAATGACTGAACATGCTCCTAACAATCTCCAATCCACATATTCTACTCCACTAAAATAGTATAGCTTTTAAAATACTTTTTTTTCTTCATTTTTTTTTCTATTTTGTTTAAATATTCTGAAACCCAGTAGCTATAAATGTAAAAGGAAAAGAAATCAAAATCCCTTTCCTCTTCCGACCTGAAGCGAATATTTATGCTTTTTTTAACTTTTTTTTTTTTTTACTTATGTCATTAGTAGTAGTTTGTAGTATTAGCATTGTTATTAATACCATATATTTCTGTTGAGGAATAAAAATGTTTGGTCCTTTGGTCCCTTTGGGGTGAAAGATTGATCAGTTTCACTGAGGGCATGAAACCTCGGTGACCACAGAATGTCCTGCGTTTGCTGAAAGACGGTGACAGGAGAAAAGGAAAGAGGGAAAGAGAAAGAAAGTCCACTAGCGGGACAAGAAGAACTTCTTTTTTTTCCACTGCATTTTTCCTTGGTCTTCAAGTTTAACCCTCATTTGTCCAGTGTAATAAGCGCCTCTTCCTTTAAATAGCATATGTGTGTATAATATGTATATAGAAATCGAAGTTGTTCTCGCTTTTTTTCTTTTTGTTTGTTGCTTGACTGACGGTTCGAAGCTCAGCGAGAGACAGGACATGTTGAGTTCTCTGTCTTTAGAGAGATCTTCCTCTTGTCTTTCGTGCGCTGTGCCGAGTGTGGTCTGTCCACTGGTGCCGGTTCACCCGCAATCCTCCTCTGTACCGAACATCTTCGTAAAATAAATGCTGATGTCTTCAAAAAAATCCATTCATGTTGTTCTTGTTTGTTTTGAAAGAAAAAGTTAAACTCCTTTTGAGATTTCACTCTTCAAATCCTGTAAAAGAAAAGAAAATTAGAAATAAATGTACAATAAAAGTATATATATATATATATATATAATAAAAAAAACTGTGTGTGTATATATTAAATTACTATAATATATAATAAATGTATTTAATATTGAATAACAACAAAATATATAAAGGAATATATTGTTATTTAAAACAAATATATATATAAATAACTATTATCGTTATTAATGCATCGCATTATATATATACACAGTATGTAATAATAGTTGTAATAATAATAACACATTAATAATACTTTAATTTTATATATATATATATATATATATAAATATACTCAAAGTACTATAATATATACTACATTTGTTTCATGTTTAATAACAACAATAACAACAGCCTACACATTTATTTATTTAAAAATACTATATATATATATATATTATATGCATTACATTTTATTAAAATATAATATATAGATTATTTAATTATTAGATGTTATATAAATATAAAAACATTTAATAATAGTAATACTACTAATAATAACAAACATACATAAATACACACAGACACATATTCTCTCTCTCTATTATAATATCATGAATTTTAAATTTTGAGTAATTAATAAAAAATCTAATGTTATACATTATATATTATATTAAATACCATTATTATTACATATATGTAATTTGAATAATTCTTAAACAAATTTAATATACTGAATGTTTAATAAATCATTGAAACAAGTCTCAAGTTTATATTTACAGGTCAAATATCGTGTGTGTTCCAGTTAAGAGTGGTACCTGTGCTGTTGCTGAGAGCCCTGTGTGGGACGGGCCCTGTCAGTACGGGCGGCTCGCATCCTTCGGCCGTTTTAACTGCACTTTCAACCTCTTCATGCCGATCTGAAAGCCGTTCATGGCCTGGATAGCAGCCTGTGCACTTGCTGGGTTGTCGAAGCTCACGAAGCCTGCAACGAGAACAGACGTGAACCAAGTCGTTCGGATACTAAAACTAACTATATGGCATCATATTAAAGAAACAGTAAAACATTCAAATCAAGCCAAAAAAAAAAATGGCTTTTTACTGAACATAACTCTGAAATCACCATATATGCTTCTGCGTGGGCTACTTTTGAGCATAAATAAGCCACTGGTGGTATAGAACAGGGACAAAACGCCCCATAGGACTCTGAAACGGGGCCACCCACAGCATACAAACCATGACAACCACAGCTTCCCGTTCGAAACCATCGACTTTTAAAAGCCAGTGACCAAAAAGCCGCATTAAAGCGTGGATGCACCATCAGGAACCGGTCGTGAACCGAGAAAAAAAACGGGTGCTTCCATCGGCCGTCAGCCACCTGAGAGCAGAGTGGCCTAGGCTCTTAACCGAGTCTGCAAATGCCCCCATTTCGAGGCTTGTGTCTATAAGACGAGAGGGTCCACGTGGAGGTGAAGCGGGGGATAAAGCCACAAGGCTGCTTAATGGGGAATCTATGTATGTCAGTGCTCTCAGCCAAGTCCCTTCGGTCCATCTCGGGCCGCGGCCCCCACCGCAGATTAATTACTCTACCGAGCGCCTGTTACCCAGACCTGACATTATGCAGTAAATGCATAGTGTATAAGTCAATACCGCAAATAGGTCCTACTTCACAGATTTATATCTTATTAACCTCCCCCAGGAGACGGGAGCTGCTATTAATTGTGGCTTGGGAAATGTCTCCCCCTGGAGCGGGAACAGATGTTGATCCATTATGGGCCTTTTTGCTTCACTTAGGACTTTTTTTCTGGCTCAGGGTTTTCTAAAAGGCAGCACTCCGCTTTGTGGCTAGACATAGAATACAGAATGGAGTGTGAAAGGGACAGAGACCGATTATTGGTTGAACTGGGACGGGTTGCACGCGGAAGCATTAGGCTACTTAATTCAATTACACAATACTTCCTAACTTGGAGGAAACTTTAACATTTTTGCAACTTTTTACTGATATTTGGTGCACACATTTGGATTTGTGGTGAGTTAGAGAAGATCATGAGAAATTCAGTGATGGTTAATTTTTTTTGTTAAAAAGTTTCAGCTTGTTCATTTTTATATATAGGCGCTCTGGAGAAAAAAGTGATGTCATCGTCCAGCTCAGTTCAGTTCTCATATAATGGTGTCAACGCAGGCAGATCAATAATATTGTTGAATATTAAATGTCCCCAACTAAGCAAGCCAAAAGCCAAAGCCGCCTTAAAGGATTTGTTGTGGAGTGAAGGAAACTAAAATGCATGTTTATAAAAAAAATCCATCATTTTGTACATGTACGGTATATATAATTCTATGTATAAATGACAAGATAATCATAGAACATTAGAAACAAATGCAACGTGGAAAGAAATGCATGCTGATTCGCCTCACCAAAACATTTGCTCTGGTTGGTGGCTCTATCCATGAAGACCTTGGAGGAGATGACTGTACCGAACGGAAGGAACATCTGCATGAGCTCGTTGTCACCAAATTCCTGCGGTAGATGGTAGATGAAGAGGTTGCAGCCCTCTGGTCCTGCGACACAAACAGGTTGTTATTCACCGTGAAGTTTCCATTCAAGACAAGTGAGTTTTTTTTTTAAATATAAGAACTTATATGTAAATCATAGACCTTAGTCAGGGTAGCGCCATATTTAATGTTTGTCAGGAAAGAAAACGAGACTGAGTGATAGAAGTACTGTGCGTTCAAGGGATTGAAGTGCGTTTAACAACATACCGATTGTCCAGCCGACGAAACGCCTTTCTGAAAAAAAAAAAATTCAGTAGACAAAAACTCCATGAAATAGTTTTGGACGGTTGTGAGTTATGAAATGTATGTGATCTAGGACCTTCATTCAGTGCACGTCATTGTAAATAATGTGGCTGCATCCGAAATCGCAAACCCTACTATGTAGTAGGCGAAAAACAGTGTGACAAAAGTAGTATGTCCGAATTCATACAACAGTAGGCAAAAAGTACCCGGATGACCTACTATTTCCGGCGAGATTCTGAAGTGTGCATGTGATGGACACTTTACTATCCCATGAGGCCACGGGAGAGGATTTATGAATGGCATTGAAGCGCCGCAACTGACGCTGGTAGGTCACATGATAATGACAACATGGCGAATATTATACGTCAGGATTACATTCATACTATATAGAACATACTTTTTAGCAGTCACAAAGTTATTTCATATTTAAAATAATTACTAAAATAAGAGTTTTTGCGATTTTGGACGCAGCCTATAGGTATATCCCTCATAGCCTCGTTTTCATCCGGGTTAAATTCAATATGGCATCTAACCTAACTAAGGTCTATATTGTTCATTTCAGGCATTTCATTCAGTGTGAAATATTTCAGCAAAATTACTATTCACTCATCATCATGGATGTCATATTGATGCATATGCATAAAAACGAATGAAAAATCTCTCACCCTCACCTTCTCTCTGCTGCTGCTGTTGAATGACTTGTGGCTGTGGCAAGCTTTGGCCAATAGGGGTCAGTGTGGTCGCTGGGTAGATGGCTGTACGTACAAAGAGAAATTTGTGAGCACACAGCCTGTATTTATGTGATACAGCATTGAACAAGGCTGAGAGAGAGAGAGAGAGAGAGAGAGAGAGAGAGAGAGAGAGAGAGAGAGAGAGAGAGAGAGAGAGAGAGAGAGAGAGAGAGAGAGAGAGAGAGAGAGGAGAATCAAACTAACGCATGGTTGGTCAAAAACAACCATCCATTTAAAGTAAGCAGCACAAAAAAAACAAATCATCCTTACCATTTGTGTGTGTGTGTGTGTGTGTGTGTGTGTGCTGTATATATATATATATATATATATATATATATATATATACTGTGCCGGTTTGTTTCATTTTTACAGTGATTATTTATTCTACGGTAACAACAACATAGTCTGTCATAATCTGTGTGTAAATAATTTCTACAAAATGAAGTGATGACAATGGAATTATATCGAGCTATAAAGGTTCAGTGTATCCTTCCCACGCATCATGTGACGGTGAAACTATTCCAGTTTTTTTTTTTTTTATATTTTTTTTTTTTATATTTAGTATAAATGTGTCTTGTTTAGGCCTATACCAAATAAAAAAATAAACAGAAAGTCGTTTCAACATTATTTCTGTCTAACAAACATTCGAATCATTGGATATAATATAGAATAATATACTTGGATAATACTATATAAACACTGATGTCTATAGTAGCGATCAAAATATAGTAGGCCTAAATCCTTTTGAAAGTAACTAGACATTTAACATGCAACATATTATATTGTTACACCAGTAGGTGTCGACAAGTGACTGTTAAAAATGTATTTTCATTGAATTATTTATTCAAGAAATTCGTTCAAAACGCTCATGCGTTCAAAAAGACAGACCTACTGTAACTATCCGAGGTCGTTAGTCGATAGTCTATGCATTTGTTAAAGTCATCAATTTGTATCTACTTATTTGATTTATTCTGCTTATATTTATTATAATTAGCCTATATATTACTTATATTTTATTTATAATAGGCTACTAATATTTATTATATTACACTTTTTTAAATTATTAATAAAAAAAAATGGTGTTTCTTATTTGTCGTCTCTTAGATAGGAGTCTTTCTGCCGATGCGCCGTACCGTTTAAAGGTGCGATATTAGTGGCACCTAGCGGAATTACAAGAACATATTTTGCAAACGCCCCTTTCTCAACTCAAACACCACAATCACAGCTCTCACGGGTGCTTGTGATGGCACGTCTCAACAGGTAAATGTAGGCTACTTTCAATAAAACATATTAACCCTCTGGGGTTGTTCGTTTAACAGTCACACTTGGGGTGTTCGGCTCCAAATGGACCCAAAGGGCAGGATTCATATTTTAAAAAAAAAAATCAAAATTTTTTTTTTTTACTTGTTTTTTATAAAAAAAAAAATCTTTTCTTTTTTGGTGTTTTGAGATAATTTCAAAAATAAAAATGATTTATAATTAATATTAATGCAATAATTATGACCCATTTTTTCCCCATTGAATATAATAGATTTTTTTTTTTTTTTTTTTTTTTAAAGCTGTATTTCATTTTAGAGTCAAGCCTAGGCCTCATGAAAGCAATTTTTGAAATGAGATGGATGCCATCTGGTGGACAAACTGAGCATTTTAAAAATTCAAAACCCATATGTAATCTGAATTTATTAGTGTGTATGTGTATAAACGTGTGTTTGTGTGTGTGTGTGTGTGTGGATGTGTCTGTTTTGCACTCTTGATGTTTTATAGATTCACCCCTTCACTGTTGTGTGCTTTTTTCTGGATCGTGGCTGATTTGTAGATTGTACGCACAAAAAAACTCTGTATTTTCACATTTTTGCCAACTTCCCATTCATTTCCTATGCGGGTCCTGAGTGTGACTATTTTTTTTACAACCACTTAGACTATTCAAATCCTGTCCCCAATTTTTGGGGGTGTTCATATACCAAGTACCAACAAAGTCACCAAATTTCGGACCATTCCGATAAAGCTATGATTTAAAAAAAAAATTTTTTTAAATGCTTTGGGTCCATTTGGGCCGAACAACCCCAGAGGGTTAAGAATACTTTTAGCTATGTTGCTATGTGTCATGAGTGTAAGCAACTGAGAAGCTAACACTCTTGTCTAGAGCGAACGTGAGCATTTCACTTATTATAAACCCATCCAACATATCTGAATTGGGCGCCTTTTTTTATATGACTCACCACCCAGGATACCTGGTTAAAAAAGTCACGGCTCACCACTGACACACATATGTCAAAAGTTCACCTGTATATTGCTGCACCCCGGTGAAGGCCTGCTGTAGGGTGTCCGCAGCTGTGGGGCTTTGGGTGGAGTAAGAGGGCAGTCCGTTGGTGTACATGGCCTCGACCGCTGGGTGTCCATTGGGCTGGTGAGGGATGCTGGTGAAGCCGTTGACGATAGGAGTGACGATGCTGGGGACGGCTGATGTGGTGATGTTGGCAGGTGGTGAGCTGAGGCCTGGAGCCAGGAAAACAAACATAGACAGCACATTTTAGGTCAGTACAGCTCCCAAAGAAAGTGTCAAAACGTCTGCAATTTCACATTAAAACATTAAATGTATATTCACATTTTAAAATGCTGTCGATGTGGGATGAGGTCATGTACAGCATTCTCTTTTAGCCAGTTAGCTTTGAGGCTAATGCTATTGTACTGATAAACGATCCCTAAATTCACTCGTAACATATATATATATATATATATATATATATACAAACAAACAGGCCCGCCGACAGGGGGGGACAAACGGGTCTGTTGTCCCGGGCCCAGGGTAGGGAGGGGGGCCCAGAACTGGGCCCTGATTAAATTATGGAATAATTGTTAAAGAAATAAATAAAATAGGCATATTTGTTGAAAAAATATCTAATATTTGAGTTACATAAAAGCTTTTTATTCGTTTTCTTCCTAATTGTCCTTGAAATAGTGGTCAAGAACACACCACCCCCACCCCCAAAACAAAAATGGTTTGGCCACTGATCGAAATATGATGTTGTCATTTGATTTGAAGTTCAGTAGGCTAACGTTACGCTCAAAATGTCCGGTCAGCACAAGTCCGGTGCTCAGAAAAGAAAAGAAAAGAAAAGAAAAGAAAAGAGAAGAAGAAAATAGAGGCCTTCGAGATGTCCTAAACAAATATTTTTAAAAAGGTGGTGACGGTGAAGCTGGAACTAACGTTAGTAAAGTCAACGTAGAGCAAGGTAAGAAACAGCGCAGCCAACAATTATGAGTGTTGTCAAAGACCCGGCACTTCGGTACCAAGTCGGTACAAATTTCTTTTTAAACGTCCCGGGATGCGCGTGCATGCCCAAAGCGCGTGCAGTTGCGTCCTCTTCATAAAAGCGCTGAGACATGGCGACCGGCGGTGCTGCTGCTGTGGTGGCTGTAAATCCACTTGTTGATAAGAAAGGAGGAAAGAGCCACATATGGAAATATTTTGGATATTAGCTCATAATAGCGACGCGGCGCGCTCGTTTTTACCAAGGGGGTAATCCATTAGCCGGAAGTTGAAGCCTCGCGGGAGCCGCCATTGTAGCAGACCATCACCTGCTGTTAGCATCCCATTGACTCCCATTCATTTTGGCGTCACTTTGACAGCGAATAACTTTACATCTGAGGTGTTTAAAGACTCCATTTGTCCATTATTTATTTCTAAAGAAACACGACAATGTATAAAATGTTCCATTACTTTGTATCTTACGTTACGGCCCCGTAGAAGCCGTTTTTTAAAAAATAGGCTAAAGATTGCGTCATAACCACGGGACTTTCTGTCGCACAATAGAGACATTACCGTATAGACAGGAGGAGAAGCTCGCTAGCAATCTTTAACTGTCTATGAGGCAATCGGGGGGACATGGAGGCACAAAGTCAAGGTAGAAGCTCATAAATAGAGAGTCTATAAAAGCAATGGGACAAAATATTTCAACAACGTTTTTGAGGAATTAGGTGATTCAGATTTGGCTTGGCACAGCTACAAGAAGATTTTCAACTGCCAGACTGTCGTCACGCTCAGTTTGAGCCTGCGCAGTCGCTCAGACATCAGACAGGAAGTGCAATAATCGGGCTTCAGTCTTCTCCGTTGAAATCAATGGGGTCGCTCTGTCCATTCCTTTTACTGTCTATGGTTTTTACAGGCGCGCCTAAGTTCATTGTTGCATAGCAACGACAGACGCCACGGGAGAGCAAACGCTTGTGGAAAGGAGAAAGCGGTGCGAACTGCGCTCTCCATGATGACGAGGAAGTATTGGCAAAGAATTCATTGATTTCTAGCCCTTGGATTACCGTAATTCCTCAAATAAAGGCCGGGGCCTTTATTTACCTGAACTGCAGATGGTATCCGGCTTTTATTTGAAGCAGGCTTTTATTAGAGGCAGGCCTTTATTTCTAATTCGCGATCCCCGCCCGCCCGCCAGCCAAGTTTCCATGGTGACGCGTCATGCTTGGCACGTGTTCACCACAGCCAAAATAGCGCTGTATGACAGATGTAGCGCTTTTATTTCTAAATATTAACAAACTTGCTTACCATGTCATCAACTATCTTCTATTCTGACTCTCAAATCCGTGTAAGTGAGTTTGTTTTGTCGTTTAAAACCCTTTATAAATTATCTTGATCTGTAACGTGAGATGGGCACCGCAGTTCGGAGATTCCTGTTGTATTTGTTAAGTTACAGCGCGTGAATTCTTCAGTTTCTCCCGAAATACATGAAAGTAAGTGGGCGGTGAACTGGGAGAAGAATAGAGTAAACATTATAGTTACTTACACTGTGTATCTGATATGAATAAAACACGTCGCCAAATATATTTGAATGGATTGTTATTGCTGCTTCCATAGACACCATTGTGTATTTTACAAACTATAAATTTATTGTTTTGCTATAAATCATATCTATTTAAATGTCTGAAACCTAAAATAAACATGTGGTTAAAAACACTTAATAGTTGTGATATATGACAAGCGCTGACTGAGCGCGTCCGTCTTTGAGTGTACATTCATTTAAAGTGTACCTATTCACACTATTTTTTCCCCGGCCTTAATTTGAGACCGGCCTTTATTTGTCCGCGTTGACCAGGCCCCCGGCCACTATCAGAGGCCCGGCGTTTATTTGAATACCGGTCTTTATTTGAGGAATTACGGTAGCTTTACTACTATTTATGGAGATGAGAAATAAAAAGCCGGCTGAAATGCATCACTGTCATCATCGGTAAACAGATAATGGGTCAGATCCGAGTCTATTTTTGCTGCGCTGCTCATGCTTAAAAGTGAAAGCACACTTTTGATGGACAAAAAATAAATATGATTTCACACAAAAAGTGCCCAAAATGCACAGATTTTGCATGTCTAGTGTGTTTTAACAAGAACTGCAGTAGGCTATGTCAGAAAAGAAAATGAAGACATTTATAGAAAATGTACCCATTTAAACGTGTTTTTATTATTCATTTTGGGTAAAAGTATATGGTGTTTTATAAAAATAAAAAAAATCGTGGGGGGGCCCCATCTAAGATTATCTTGTCCCGGGCCCAGGCAAGACTGTCAGCTGGCCTGCAAACAAATATAAAATTTACATCTGTCTGTCTATCTATCTATCTATCTATCTATCTATCTATCTATCTATCTATCTATCTATCTATCTATCTATCTATCTATCTATCTATCTATCTATCTGTCTGTCTGTCTGTCTGTCTGTCTGTCTGTCTATAGTACACACACACACACAGTGCAATCTAGGAGTAAGGTTCAAGGTTCATTGAAAGTAATGACAGTAATGATTGAAAGTTCTTTTATATTATATTATATGAATTAATTGTTCAATTATCATGTATTTATAATAATATTATTTATTTAGAATCTATTTATAATTTATACATTTAATTATATATTATAGATAAGATACAGATACAGTATTACTTATACAAGTAATTATAAAGTTTTATAATAACTCATTAAAAAGTCATTAACAATCATCATTAGACTATATTATGCTGAATTAATGTCCATGAAAACTAATGGAAATGGCATTGAAGTTTGATTAATATATCAAACTTTATATATAGATGAATGTAGATGAAGTGCTGAGCTGTCAATCATTCTCAGAAAAGTATTTCGCACCTCATCTGCAAAAGAATCCTTTAATAGACCCTTGCTAGCATGGGGTCGGTGTTTGATCCCAAGCTTTGAGCGTTTCTGAGCTGTGGCTGTGCGCATCGGTACAAACTACAAAACAGTTCCCATAGGATACCATTTCAATCTGGATCCGCGAACAATGCTGGAAGATGGTCGTCATGGAAACCCCCAGCATGCCTCAATTACAATGTGGCGAAAGGCCCTATAGGAAAGTCTTTATAGAAATATGACCGAGCTGATGGATTCGAAATATGGCCGTAGTGCCGTTCACTTACAGTATGACAGAGTGTGAACCAAGCTCTTATTGAACAGAGAGGTTCCCAAAACTGTACTCAAGCCTTCCACTGCTGTAACCTAAGGGAATTCCAGTGGGCCGAGGAGAGCTGTTCACTCTCGTTTGTGCCATTTCCTGTTCCTAAGCTTTTTCGAGGTTGTTTGCTTCCCACACAGCACATTGATGAATTAGATGACACCTCTGCCCCATTCTTCCCGAAGCCCAGGAGATCGGGTGCGTTCGGGGATGTCCGACAGGCAGCTTCAGCCCAACCGACCACACGTGCGGGCCGAGCGGCAGCTGCGTGCTGTTATAATGTTGGGAATCTATCATTGTGATGTGACACTTTCGAAAAGCTGAACGCTGACGGGAGGATCCAGCCCGCAGGAAGGGTTAGGAAACAGACTGAGCTAGTCACCGAAACTCAGATCATGTTCTGGTTGAAGAATAAGACTTCAGTAGGCATCAAAAAAAGCTAGCAAGACGAGACAAATCATACAACTAGAGTGATACGAATAGAGTTAGCTCTGAAAAAAAATGGGTGATCTCATACAGATAGTGTTGTTGAATTCCACTGCACTGCTTTTCAATTGTTCACTATGTAAACATGCGCTAGACGGACATGTTTGCTGCATTTGTTTTTAAAGCTTTGTGCATGATACAGCCTTAAAAAAAACATGATTCTCAAGTTACATAAAGTTCTGAAGAAAAATCTAGCATTTTTCCACACAAATAAAGCGATTGATTTCAGTAAAGTTTGATGTTAGCATGTTGCTAAGCTAACAAAGACGATTTTAACTAGATTGAGCTATTTTTACTATTACTTTTTGGCACTGAATAAAATGTATATTTAAGTTCTAACTTCCTTTTGTTTTCCCCTAATGTTTTCCTAACCTCTATGTTCTGATATATTTTATCCTGCTGTACGGACAAATAATTCGATGTTAGCATTAGCAAGTGGCTAAGCAAACCAAAACAATTGAACCCTCTGGTGCTCCGCGTAGTGGTCAAAAACAACAGATTATTATTTTTTATTTCGATGAAATGAATGTACTATATTTTAGTTCG